TGCCCTCCTGTGTTGGGCCATGCGTTTGTGGAGCGGCTGCTTAGTTTCACCAAGTCTGAAATGAATGAAACTAAGCCATGGCTTGCCACGGCAGCATTTTTTCCAGGTCCCGTATATTGCCGCTGCACCTCCAATTGGAATTTCCATATATCATTCTTCGTTCACAAAAATTGGAGGAAGGTAGTTCGGTGTGAATTGTCCGATATTTATCAGTTCTTCTGTGGTAAAAGTAATCCGGAATGAGTTGCAAAAGACCGAGAAAACAAAGAAAAACGATAAACACAAGAGAGTGCGAGTAACCAAGGCTGCCATTGCTGTCAGTACACATTTACACTAATTCCAGGACAGTTAGTTGTCACAGTTGTCATTGTACAGGGAAACATGTTTCCTAACTATGCATATGACAAATAAACATTTTGACCTTGGAATAGTACTACCGAAAACACACCAGTGAGCCACAGCACTGCACTGGGTGACAGGGTTCTTCCTCGGGAAATGCGTGGGGTATGTCTTAGGAGAAAAACAAGCTGCAAAGGCTGAGGATGGCCGCCACTGAAGATAAAGAGTCAAATGTGCACACATGTGACCTGTGCTCACAGGACACTACTTCTCACGCTGTTATCCATAAAACACTGTGGTTTTAATCATTTGTAATATAATGTTTTTCTTGCTACCACTTGACTTGATTTGTCCATTTTGCCTTTATTTCATCACCAGTACGCTTCCTTTTGCAGATCTACTGTAAGCTGACCCCCAGGTAAATCTCAGTGTGTTCCAGCAGGCATGAGGTGTAAGTACCTCACTCTGCAGCTCTGAAGCCTCTCGGGCGTGTTGCGTCTCTGGAGTCTCTCGCAGAACTGAGTACAGAGAGAGCGACGCCTCTCTCTTCCCCTCTTCTTTGTACTTAGACTGAAACAGTTACATAATTTAGTAAAACATTCTGTAAAACATATCGTCAGTCAGATCAGTCACATGGATCTATAGCACAAGAACGTGTGGACAGATGTGATGGCTCCTGTTCAGATGTAGACATGTCAAAAACCTAGGAAATGATCATTTCCAACAGTTAGTCTTCTTTATGACGGAGGAGCTGACATTGCCCACACCTATAAATACAGTGGGTACGGAAAGTATTCAGACCCCCTTAAATTTTTCACTCTTTGTTATATTGCACCCATATGCTAAAATCATTTAAGTTAATTTTTTTCCTCATTAATGTACACACAGCACCTCTTTTTGACAGAAAAACACTGAATTTTTTACATTTTTGCAGATTTATTAAAAAATAAAAACTGAAATATCACATGGTCATAAGTATTCAGACCCTTTGATGTGACACTCATATATTTAACTTAGGTGCTGTCCATTTCTTCTGATCATCCCTGAGATGGTTCTACACCTTCATTTGAGTCCAGCTGTGTTTGATTATACTGATTGGACGTGATTAGGAAAGCCACACACCTGTCTATATAAGACCCTACAGCTCACACTGCATGTCAGAGCAAATGAGAATCATGAGGTCAAAGGAACTGCCTGAAGAGCTCAGAGACACAATTGTGGCAAGGCACAGATCTGGCCAAGGTTACAAAAAAAATTTCTGCTGCACTTAAGGTGCCTAAGAGCACAGTGGCCTCCATAATCCTTAAATGGAAGACGTTTGGGACGACCAGAACCCTTCCTAGAGCTGGCCGTCCGGCCAAACCGAGCTATCGGGGGAGAAGAGCCTTGGTGAGAGAGGTACAGAAGAACCCAAAGATGACTGTGGCTGAGCTCCAGAGATACAGTCAGGAGATGAGAGAAAGTTGTAGAAAGTCAACCATCACTGCAGCCCCCC